GCCCCCCACCCCCGGCCAACCCCGGGCCCCCTCCTCGGCCCTCCCTCGCCCTGACTCACCTTCTTGAGCTTCCGCTGCTGCACGATGCGCGCCTTCTTAGGAGCAATAACACGACCTGCAAAGAGACGCGCTCCCGTGAGGCCGGGGAGCCCCGGGCCCACCTCGCTCCCCAGCCCCGGACCTCTCCTCACCGCCCTTCCTCGGGCCCCGGTTCCGCTCGGAGGCCGCCGCCGCAGCCTTGCTCTTCGCCGGCTTCTGCGCCTGGAACTTGCGCTGCCCCTGCGCCATGGTCGCGCACGCGCCGGAAGAGGCGGGGTGGCAAGCAGTCGCAGCCGGAAGGCGCAAGGCACGGTGGGATACTGTGGGGCCGGGGGGCGCAAGGGTTCACGGGACACAACGGGGCAAAGAGTTAAAGGGACAGTAGGCCAGAAACGGGGATCTGAGCCCGCGTTTTGCACAAGTTTTGAAGGAAAGATTATAGTGATAAACTAACATATACTGGGCGCTTGTTTCATAAAACTTACACTGTTTTATGGTCTTTATACATAACATTCAGTCTAGGACTAAGGTGGAGTAAATGAGGCAAAATTTAAGGAGTGCCAAAAATTTCAGTAATGAAGATAAAATTTTCAGCACTTACACATACTACTTTAACGTTAAAAAAAATCAAATTGTCAAACTACAGCCTGCTGACCGGCTGCCTGATGTTGTAAATAAAGCTTTATTGGGGGCCGCCCCCGTGGCATAGTGGTTAAGCGCGTGCACTCCGCTGCTGGCAGCCTGGGTTCGGTTCCCAGGTGCGCACCGACGCACCAATTGTCAGGCCATGCTGAGGCAGCGTCCCACATAAAGTGGAGGAAGATGGGCACGGATGTTAGCTCAGGGCCAGTCTTCCTCAGCAAAAAGAGGAGATTGGCATGGATGTTAGCTCAGGGCTGATCTTCCTCACAGAAAAAAAAAAAGGGAAAACAAAATAAAGCTTTATTGGAACAAGGGCCGGTAACGAGTGAGGTGACTACGTTCACCGTGTGCAAGGTCAGGGTTCCATTCTATTTAAAATCTTGATATTTTGTTCATCATGGATTTTTTTGCATTAATTTTGATTTTTAAAAAGTATTGCATGAAACTATTATTTACCATGATTAGCAAGCTTTTGGGTGTCCCCTTTAAAACTGTGCACCCAAGGCGTCGCCCTAGTTCCAGCCTTGCCAGCAACCTCGGGGGGTGGTACTAGTGTTGTCCCCATTTTGTAAACGAGGAAACCACAGCATGGAGATGTGACGTGACCTGGCCAAGACCACACAGTGGAAAAAGTGCAGGGCTGGGATTTGAACTTGGGCAGCCTGCCTCCAGCTGCTGGGCTCTCGAGAGCCATGCAAAGGCCCTGTGTGCTCTCCCTGCTCTAGAAGAAGTGTGGTTGGGGAAGAAGGTCAGATTTGGGACAAGCCATTCAGTAAGTTTATTAAAAAACATAGAGGGGAGGGGGCAGGGTATGGAAAGCCGGGTTGGTGACTTCTGGGGTCCATCCAGGGGTCCCCACTCAGGAGACGGTGGCACTCAGGGCTGCCCGGAGCTCCTCAGGGGCAAAGACGCCCAGCTCTGTAATGATGCCACCGGTGATGAGGTCGTGAGGGGTGACATCGAAGGCAGGATTCCAGACCCCAATCCCTATGGGGGAAAAGAGGGGAGGCAAGAAGGTAGGTATTTGGCTCAGTGAAGGTTCTCAACCTGTTGTCACCTGTCTCCCCCTAGGCAGTTCTTGGAGCTGGGGAATCCTTGAGAACTTGGGGATGCTCACCCCAAAAGTGCACAAAGGCATGGGGTGTAGACCCCCCATCATTCCTGGACTGTCTCTGTCCAAGTTTTCGAATTATTCTATACATCCACCCACCTGTGCCTGCTCCAAGGATCTCTTTAAGAATCTCCAAGAACCCACCTCAGGGTGTTTGCACAGGCTGCCCCTCTGCCTCAGATAAAACACGTGACTTGCTGTTTCACTTCCTTCAAGTCTTTGCTCAAATGTCACCCTCTCAGTGAGGACTTCTCTGGTCATCCTGTCTAAACCCCCTGCACGGACACTTCCCATACCCTTCTTTGCCTCGTCTATTTCTCCTCAGCCCTTACCCCTTCTAACATACACTGTAATTTTGTTATTTCTCCCGTTGGTTGTCTGTCTCCTCTACCAGACTATCAGCTCCGTGAGGGCAGGGACTTTTGTCTTGTTTCCCCCGTATCTCTGGCACCTCGCATCTGCCACGCACTCAAAAATATTTGCTGAGTGAATAACAACTTTTTACACAAGAGGCTGCAAACTGGTGCCCTGTAACTGTTTTCTCTGCTCACAGTTTTTTAAGACTACTGAATTAGCAGCCAGCGTTCAAGACGGAGATTTCACATTAAAAAATGTCAAGTTTCTCTTAGAAAAATCAGGAAGACCCATCCCCCGGGGTCTGCACTCCTGTGACCACTGGCTGGAGCAGGGTCTCGGGCCTGGCCCCTGTCCCTCATCCTTGGTACCCTGCTGTCCCCAGTTTTCTTAGCGGGGGCAGGGCAGGTTGTCAGCCCTGCTTCACACGGTCTTCTGGATTTTGACCAGCGCTAATTATGCCTCCAGGAAAGCAGGGGCACCAAAAAAATGAGAAAAAACTATTTTAGAATTAATCTATTTTTTAAAAGCTGGAAGTAATCGCAGCAGAAAACATCCGCATATTAGGATCTCCCTCTGCTGGGCTGTGTAATATTGTTCCTACTATGACTCTACACTTGGACGAGGGGGTGGCGGCCCCAGGGCATTTGCAGTGCTCAGGGATTCTAACTGGTCCTTTGGGTGGTCAATCGAAGTTGTTAACATTTCACGAGCACTGACTGAGCGCCAGGCCCTGCGCCCCACGTCGTGTGGGTTCATGCCCTGACGGCCCTGCAGTCTATGAGGTGGGTCATCCGAACAGCTCATCCTACAGCCGGGACACCGGCTCCTAGGGACGAGGGGACCTCGGCGCCCTGCTGGTGGCCACACAGCCAGGAGGTGCCGGACGCTGAGAAGTATCTGCCGCTCCGCGTAGGCCCCGCCGGGCGGTGTTGTCTGCAGGTGAGACAGGCCGGGCGGAGGACAGCGAGCCAGTCTGCTGGACGTTTCCCAGCTCACAAGCTGACACTCTGACCCTCGTGCTGAGGCTTGAAGCAGCGGCCTGTGCCCAGACGCTGCCACACCCCAAGCGCCGCCCGCCCCCGGGGGTGCCAGGGCGCCCTCCGACAGACGGCGTACCGGGCGCCGCGATCCTGACCCCGCCGACGTCGGTCAGCTCCCGGCCCGGGCGCTCCTCGATGACAATCTCCCGGCCCGTCTCCAGGCGGAGGTCACACGAGGAGCTGGGGGCGGCCACGTAGAAGGGGATGCCGTGGTGCTTGGCGGCGATGGCCAGCTGGTAGGTGCCCACCTTGTTGGCCGTGTCGCCGTTGGCAACCACGCGGTCGGCTCCCACGACGACGGCTGCGGAGCGAGATGCGGGGTCAGCACCCGGCCTGGCCGCCGGGAGCCCCCACCCCCGCCGCGCGCTGACCTGACACGCCCCGGTGCGCCATGGCGGCGGCCGCCATGCTGTCGGCGATGAGTGTGCCAGGGATCTGCTCGTAGACCAGCTCGAAGGCCGTGAGCCGGGCGCCCTGGTTGTAGGGCCGGGTCTCCGTGCAGAAGGCGTGTTCCAGGCGGCCCAGGCTGTGCAGCGAGCGGATCACACCTGCAGCCCGGCCACCAGAAGGCCACGGAGAGACAGAAAGGGACAGACGGGCATGATGGCCGCTGGCCAGGGGTGCGGCTCAGTCCCTCGGCCAGCGCACATGTTAGAGGACGCCTCCTCTGTGAGGCCTGCCCTGATCCCGCCATCTCACACGGCAACCCACCCCTCCGACCTCTTTCCCTGCTTTCTCCTCTGCGCTTGTCACCTGCCAACACATAGGACATGGTCACATGTCTTGTGAGTGTTCATGTCTGCTCCTCCTCCTGATGGCAGAGATTTTGTCACTCCTGGGTCCCCAGCACCTAGAACTGTGCCTTGCCCACAGTCGGTGCTTAATAAGTGCCTGAGTGGATGAGGGAATGCATGCGTGCACGAATGACGGGGCACACCGCAGGTGCGTAATAAATGTTTGTGGGTGAACGAGGGAATGTCTTGCCATCAAGGCCTCAGTCCCAGGCACGAGGGTGGCACCCAGACAGGCAGGGAAGTCTCTGGGAGAATTGAGAGTCAAGTGGAATCTGCTGCCTTAGCTCCCAGGACCCAGTGCCCCCTCTCCTGGTCACAGCTACCCTAATCTTTCTTTGGGGGGCCAGGCCCTTCCCCTCAGTCCTCTTGGAGTCCACATCCTGCTAACTCTCCAGGCACATGGCTCAGGCTGGGCCCATCGAGTGACCGACCCTGGATGGGCCGGTGACCCCATCAGAGCCCCAGAGATACAAGACTTTTCTGGCACTGTTGGCACAGAGACCCTTGGCTCTTTTCCTCAGGATCCGAACACTGGCAGCCCCCCTGCTGACCCATGGGCGTGAAGAGGAGGGCAGACTCAGGGACAGGGACAGATGGGTCCTGTTACTACTATTTGAGCCCCTGGATCTAGCCATACCTGAAGCCAACCCCCTAAGTATTTCTGTACAACAACTAATAAATTCACACTTCTTTTGGTGCGCAAAGTGGTTTTGGTTTCTTTCTCTTGCACCTAAAAAAGACCCTCCCCTGCCCCTGTGGATGCCCACTCACCTAGGGCTGTGCCATAGCCCGCGGTGGCCAGTGCCCCGGTGTTACAGTGGGTCAGCACGGTCACCTTCCCGCCCCCGGGGGCTGCCCGCTCCAGGAGGTGGCGGGCTCCCAGGTCCCCGATGCTCCGATTGTCCCTGAGGTCCTTCTCCAGCATGTCCTCGGCACAGCGGATCACTCTGGGGGTGACGAGGGGCTTTCAGCCCCAGCTGCCAGGACTCGGGGCCCATGCCAGCCCCTCCTCCCTCCCACCTTCCTGCTTGGAGCCTCTTGTGGCTGTGGGGCCTGCACCCCTATGCCACTGCCACCTGTCACTCTGTTCACTTATGCCACACACGTTTACCAAACACCTCCTGTGTGCCAGGCGCTGGGGGACATAAGATAAAACTCTCGGCGCCTCCGGAGCTGACACTGGGGTGGGGGAGGCAGGCAGTGTGCAGATAATAAAGTGAGAGGAGAGGTGACAGAGAGCAGGGGAGGCACTGTATTATATGCGGGGTGGGGAAGGCAGAAACCTGAAACCGGAAGGAGAGGCGTTAGCTCTGTGGACACCTGGCCTGCAGAAATGGCATGTGCAAAGGCCCTGAGACAGCAACCGGGCTGGTGGAGTCAAGGAGCATGGAGAGTAACGGTGTAGCTGGAGCGAGGGAGTAGAGTGGGAAAAGAAGGCAGCAGGGAAGGAACTGGACGGTAAGCAAAGTTCCTCAAAAGCAAAACCCAAGAGGAGGAGGTGGCCCTGAAAAGGACCTCCAAGACAGGCAGGGGCTGAGCGTGTTCAGCGGAGGCACCGTCAAGGGACTGAGTTTGAAGACCTCGAGGCCAGGCCACCAGCGGCGAACTCCCAGCTCTGCCTGTGTGGCCTTGCACCCAGCGCGCCGTGCCTCGATTTCCCCATCTGGAAAACGGGTGGCTGTGCACAAAAAGGCAGTCAAGAGCCTCCGCTCAGAGCAGCGCCCGGCACAGGCCCCTACCTCTCGCGGACCGCCTCCTCCGTAGCGCCCTCCCGCTCGGCCTCGCGGGCGGCGGCGTCGGCCAGGTCGCGCGCGGCGCGGGCCATGTTGACGGCGGTGGGCCGGGCGGTGACCAGGAAGCTCAGC